ATGGTTTGAAGTTGGTGAAACTGGGCTGATAGGACCAAACTTAGTTCATCAAGCTATGGAGAAAGTGACAGTCATTCAAGAAAGGTTGAAAACAACGCAGAGTCGTTAGAAATCCTACATTGATGTTAGGAGAAGGGAGTTAGAGTTTGAAGTAGATGATTGGGTATACTTGAAAGTTTCACCCAAGAAGGGTGTTATGAGATTTGGTAAGAAGGGGAAGCTTAGTCCCCGGTTATATTGTTCCTTACAGAATATCCAAAAGGGTTGGTAATGTAGCTTATGAGTTAGAGCAACCCAAAGAGTATAATGACCTTCCTGGTCATTTCTGCATCTTGCCTTCTGTGTGTCGTTTAGAGCGTTCCTGTAGCGATCCCAAGTCATGACTTGCTGGGACTGACAGTTCGGTCACCTGGTAGTTCGTTTGGTTATGGTGCGAGTTTTAGTATTTTGGAGCTTATGAACCTTGAACGATCATTTTCAATCAAAAGTTCAAGAAGATGACCTCATAATAGAATTCTGAAGGTTCCATCAGCTCTGAAATGGCCAAATTAGGCTAGTAGCATAGTTGGAATGAGTATCGAGGTCTTCGATACGAGTTTGGATCATTAGGCGTTTTAGCCTTTGAAATTTGGCCTAAGGTTGACTTTAGTCAACTTTCTAGGAAAACGCACTCGGATGAAAATTATGTCAGCGCGGTTAGCTCCGGAATGTTGAGTTTGGTCTAGATTCGAGTCTTAACTTAGAAATTTCGGAGTGATACAGTTATCCAATTCATTCTCCAATATCTGCAGCCAAACTTCATTCTTCTTGTTGAACAAACGATCGAGAGTGCTTCATATTTCATGAGCTGATTTACCCTTTATAATATGATCGAATAAAGTGGAGGAGATTGCCCTCTTCAGAATGAACTCCGCCTTCGTATTAATCTGTTTTCACTTCTTGTATGCACTATTATTTTCTGGTCCGTCAACAGGAGGACTTGTGTTACTCCCATCAACAACATCCCACAAATCCTCTCCCACAAGGTATGATTCCATACACTTCTTCCATAGCTTGTAATTTGACTGATTCAACAACTCCATCCACAGTCCATTAACACAACCACTTAAATCCATTTACACAAACTAGTTAAATCTACCAGCAATCCCATCTTGAAATAACACCAAGAAGTCAACGTATGGCTATGGCTCTGATACCATATAGAGAATAACATAAGAAAAGTATAATCGAGAAACCTTCTGCTAGCCCAAGATCGTTAACTAAGATCGAAAAATTCAACTAAAGAAGAGGAAGCTAGAAGGAAGAATGTGTATTTTGAAAAAGCGATTAAGGTTTTCGTGGCATATCATTGAGGTCGCTTACATAAAAGGATCATATAACTAAAATATAGTTATAAGTGTATTACAAAAATAGGTATTTGTTTATGATTGAGAAAATACATAATTACCCCATTCAAGTAAGATCTGTTTTTGAAAAAAGACACTTAAACTTTGCGAGAGTCCTAATACACCCCTAAACTAGTTTAATGTGAAATTATTGAACCATTTTTTGATATTTTATACAGAGAATGTATATTACTCACCTGAAGAGCATGAAAACCCAAAAAAGTAAGATTAAAATAATCTTTTATTTTACTGTTTATTTTTTTCTTCTTCTCCTTCCTGAGCTTCACTATTGAAGGAGATAACAACAACTTCAAGTTTTTCTTTTTCATTTTTTTCTCTCTTTTCGTTTTTCATTTAGATTGGATTTCGACGAAGAGATTTGATTGTAACTGAATAACACAATCTCAGGCTATAAAAGAAAATGCCTTTTTAGTATGGTCATTGGCAAAAAATTCCATTGATAACGAAAGCAACAACAACAGATTTGTTGTTTCATCCTCAGATTTTTTCTCCTCCTTGATCGGCTGGGGTGAGAAGCTCCGGGAAGATGATGGCGACGTCGAAGATAGAATCGTTGGCTTTTTTCAATTGACCCCTGATCGATTTACGAGGGCTAAAATCCTGTTCAAACCAAGCAAAAATAATCTTATCTGCGTTCGGAGAGAGAAAATTCATTTTTTCCAAATACAACCCATGTTGATTTAGAGCGAAATACACAAAAAGAAGACTTTGATAGAAATTTTAATTTGAAAAAAAATTAATTTTGATAGCGGATCTGATTTTACAGTCTAATTTTGATTTAGTGTTGTAAATGGTGTTGTAGCAATGGTGGCCACTCCACAGGACGAAGAAGACCAAGGGATGGGGTTCAACATAATTGAAGAAGAAAGAAAAAAAACAAAGAATTAAAACTAAAAAAAAACATAAATAAAAACAAAGATTAGGAAATTATATAAAATTGACAGGTGACAAATAATAATCGGTGCGTGCTTACACCTTCTTTTTTATAAGTGGGATTTATTGAAAAATGAGATATTTATACTACTTTTAAATTGTTTAGTGGGGTATTAGGACATTTATAAAGTTTGAGTGTCTTTTTAAAAAAAATGTCATAGTTGAATGGGATAATTATGTATTTTCTCTATATGATTTGATCAATATTAAAAAAAAAAAATATTTGAAGTTGAAAAATAGTACTTCTTCTATTTTTGAAGTTGAAGAATAGTACTAATATTTGAAGCTAAATTGAACTATATGTATTAACTCAATATTTTAAAATTTAAATAATCAATAACTATATAAAAAGTAGTATAAACTGTAAATTTTATCATGTCATTTGTCCATATAATGAAAAAAATACATTTTAAAATATTGATCAAAGTTTACATAGGTTGAATTTTGAAAGGAAAATAATAATTTTGGTCCTTAAGTTATTGTCTTATTGCAATTTTGGCTCTTGTATTGTATGATTTAGCATATTTGACCTTCAATAAATTAAAATTTGTTATTTTAATCCTTAAAGTTAACAAATTTAAGGATTGTTATCTAAAGAAACATATATACTTATTTTTGGGTTTCCTTTTACTTCTACTAAATTCAATTTTTATCTTCTTTTAGGAGTGGACATTTAATTTACCGTAAGAATCTTTTTATTTGAGATTAGTGAGGCCATAATGTACTTTTGTTTGCCTTTTTTTTTTGCTTTCAGTATACCTTGCATATGTATTGTGATAATATAGAGAAAATACATAAAATCACCACTAAAGTTGTCTCGAATTTTTAAAAAGACACTTTAACTTTGTGGGTGTCCTATTACCCCATTGAACAACTTTAAAATAGTATGTACACCCCATTTTTCACCCAATATCACTTATACAAAAATATTTGTAAGTCACGCACTAATAGTCACTTGCCACGTGTTAAAAGTAATTTTTAATTATTTTTATTTGATTTCTTTGGTTTTCTTTTTCATTTATTCTTTTTCTCTTTCTTCTTCACCTCAATTTCTGCTCCATTTTTTTTTCTTTTTTCTTCTTCTTTTATTCCATTCCCTTCATCGTTTTCTTGGGAAATTTTATTTCATGTTCTTTGTTGATGTCTTGCAATGGACTTTTCTTTACACTTTGTGTCCCTTTAGCAGCCAACATTCACTTTTGCCTACTTACTACCACCAATTAATTTATTTATGAAAATAAATATCATCAAATAATCTAAATCTAAATACTTAAAATATCACCAAGTCAAAATTTGAAATTTAAATCACCACCTTCTTCAACTCCTTACTCCCAAATCGAGTTTTTCATAGTTTTACTATTCCCAAATCCCAATCTTGATTTGTAGGAGGAACTAATTTGTTTTTCAAAAAAATAGAAAAGAAGAAGAATGAACACAATAGCATTAGTTTTTAAAAAAACAATGACCAAAAAGAAAAAAAAAATGAAGGAAGACATGGATGTCCCAAGAAATATGGGTAAGCTAATGATGGTAAGGAAGATGAGAAAAAAGATTTGAAAAAATAAAAATATTCCTAATAAAGTTAAAAAAATAATTAATACATGGGTTTTAATGTTTTTTTTTAAAAAAAAAGTCAAATTGGGGTGCCACATGACAATTTTACGTTGGTCTGAAGCTGTATCAAGAGTCTTCACGTGCTTATATTCTCGTGACAACACGAGTGGTGTTAAAATTAGTCAAAATGGTATATTTATTGTGGATTTAAATAGTTTCATGGGGTAATAGGACACCTGCAAAGTTAAGGTATTTTTTTGAAAATTCGAAACAACTTCAATGGTGACTTTATGTTTTTTCTCGATAATATATTACTCAATTTCATGGTGGTAATGCCCAATAACTTTATCATTTGCTTCACAATGAATGTCCATTCATCATTGACACATACTTTATCCTCGAAGGTTGAAATAATCAATTTACACAACCTGTTTATTAAACGAATCACACTATGGTATTGCATTATTTTGCCTCTAACTTTTTGTTTGTGTAGAGTCTCTGTTAAATACTCAATTTGTTAAATACTCAATTTTTTAAATCAAAACTTCTTAACATCCATTAGTTTAACTGTTTAAGGGATAAAAATAACACATTTTAATTAATTAAAGGTCAAATGTGATAAGTCTTATAATACAAGGATCAAAATCGCAATAAAACAATAACTTGAGAACCAAAATTACTACTTTCCCAAAAAAAATACATAAACAGAGATAAAAGGAGTATTCGAAAATCAATTTCACTTCATTTTTTTACAAAAGTTTTATGAGTGAAAAATATTTTCAACTTGGGGAAATTCACTTTAAAAAACTAATCAAAAAAATTTTTTAGAAAGAAAAAACTTTTCATGTCCAAGTGGGCTCTAAATTTCCTGATTTAACCTTACAAGATTTTACTTTTTTATTATTATTATTATACACTTTTAAAAAAATTCAAGTAACTTTTTTTTTTTTAGGGAAACCCTATTTACTTACCTCTGATATTCTGAATATGAACATGATCTTGACACGTGGAGTTATGAGGAATCCTTGTCCCCTGAATGTTGTAACGGCTACTTTCTGTGCTTTTTAAATTGGTCCTCTGTTTTTCCATTTCATCTGAGCAATTTCAGACAAACCAATATGAACAATTATGGATATCCAATGGTGATGGTCATTGAACATTTGCAGTGTTCCATGTCCAATGATCTGCTATGTAAATTTCCAGATAACTCAGCATTCGATTTCGATTATACCCAAAGTTCAATTTGGTCTCCTCTAGTACCTAGACCATTGTCATCGGCGTCTAACCGGAGGCTCAGCTCTGGTTTATCTCGAAGGCTGTCATATGAGAATGTCTCGGTAGGATGTACTAATTTCAACAAAGTTACGGCAAAAATCAAGAGGAAGTTGTCTAATGCTGTTACAGAGAATATGAGAGAATATCATAGATCGAAGAAGAGAAAGAAGAAGGCACTTGATTTTACTCGTCTACCATCTTCTTCTAAAATCTCGCCTACTCCAACCCCACGAAAGGTAATCCAAATCTCAAATCTCGACTCTCTGTTTTTTTAAAATAAAATAAAGTACAAGATGCGAAATTAAGCAGAGTATGTTATTGTGTGCAGGGGTGGGTTAAGGTACTGAAAGCGGCTACAAAGCATTTCAAGAAGAAAAATTCCACAGGTGATGTTAATTTTTGCAAATCATTGAGTGACAACACTCTTCTGCGAACTTCTACATATCCATAGAAGTTGTTTGAATCCTTTACATGGCAGGGCAGAACAAGAAATTTGTCTTGTTTCTTTGTAATACCTGAATTTTCACTGTAATCAGCAGATGTGTAGCTGAAGAGTGCATTTGTTTAAGTAATGTAATGTAGCAATTCTACTATGATTGCTTGAAAAAAGATGGAGCTTACTGGCTCTGTCCTTGTAACATTATGATTTCTTGAATCTGAACTATTTTTATACATAATATCCATTTTGATGCTTATAATACTCTCTTCATTTCATATTAAGTTAATTTTCGAGGCATTTTCCATTTTTCAAATTAACTTAATTGTTCAGTTTTTAAAATTACTTTTAGAGTGTTCTTCCAATTTTACCCTTCATTAGTTAGTATTGGAATTAGTGATTAATTAATATTTAGTTATTTTAATCATAAATCTGACAATAATTAGTAAGGGTAAAAATGGAAAACTAGATTCAATTTATGTTTTAATCTACTTTTCTTAAAGGGCGTAAAACACCTCAAAAATTAACTTAATATGAAATGGAAAATAGTAAAGATTACGTGAAAACCTTCTTGCTTAAAGTAAAGGGAAAAAACACGATCTATCATTCAGGCTTTCACCAATGCATCCACTAAACACAAGCTATAATTTAGATTACAATTTTATGCGATCTAAGAATTAAACTACTTAATCATCATCCCTTATAATAGTCTACTAAGTAATATCTCTATTGTTCACTATATCAACTAATCCTAATGGACATAACAACAAACTCCAGATATTTGTAGCCACAACACTATGGCTACCTCTGGCCAACAACTCTAACATGAAAGATAGGAGAAGACTACTATTGTTATTATTTATTTTTGGTATCAATAGATCTTTGTAATTAATTATAATTTGATAAATTATAGTAGCTGGTAATTATATTAATTATAAGTAGTGTTTATTAAAATATCGTGTTATGATGTTTGGATAATGTCGTATTATCTAGTTTATTATAAAAGTGAAAATTTTGTGATGAATAGTTTTTTATGATTTAAAACTTATGAGTATATCACGTTTCATGTTTTTCTTTTTTTTAAAGAAAGTGTGATATATTTTTCAAAACTATGATCAAACACATGTTGAAATTTCACCAAAATTTAATTTCCCAAAAAATGAAAAATTATGGCTAAACGATAACTTAGCATTGTTGTCCGTACAACTATTGTAATAATTTGTATGATATTATTTTTCTAATTAACCTTTTTTAAAAAAAAATATGACTATATCAAAAAATAATCTTGAGTGGAATTTAATTAATATGAATAGTTTAATTGTCGCTAAATATGTATTTTTAGCGGCAATTAACATTTTTTATAAATGTCCCTAAAATCTATAACGACATTGAATTCAATATCAATTAATTAATTCTCGATAAAGGTTTTAACACTTTTTATTAATGTGTATATTTATTGTCGCTAAGAGTTGTTTTTGTTGTAGTGTATTTTTTATATTTAAAAATAATTAACTTTAATTTTCTTACTTTATTTTTAAAGAGAAAATTTTCGTTGTCATATAATATCATATCATATCTTATATATATATATGATATCATATCTTATATATATATAAGAGAAAATTCTCTTATATATATATATATATATAAGAGAACCTTAGGCCCGCCTACGTGGCGCCACCACAAACCAAAATTCCCTTCTAATTTATTTATTTTCAAAACTAGCCTTCTCTTTTCATGAAAAGTTGCGACTTTAATGAAGAGTTGTGACTTTTATGAAAAGTTGTGATTTTTATGAAAGGTTGTGACATTTCCGAAGGGTTGTGACTTTTCCAAATATTTGTAACATTTTCGATAAGGCACGATAAACATTTGTTCACACTACCATTTGTTGTCTATAAATAGAGGGATTTCTACTCATTTTAAAACAACGAAAATTCTGAACCTCTTTTTCTTCTTCTTCTTCTTCACAATTAAATATTTTTTTTTACTTTGCTCATGTTTAGTGTGGCCCACTGACATCATTGCTTATGTTACAGATCCTGGTATGTATTTTTACAGTCATTAATTTATGCTTACGTTATTAAGGATAAATGATAAGATGTAATAATTTTCATTTTCCTTTACATTATTAATGTTTGTTACTACGTAATCTTGTATATAAGATAATATAGTGTTTTAGTTTTAATGACTTATAGGTTTTAAGTATTATAAATTCCTGCACGAAGCACGAATAATTTTACTAGTTATAATATATTTAAGATTATAAATAAAAAATTCTACAACACACAAATATCATTACACGTTTAAATCATAAATTTCAATTTCTTTTATTATGTTTCTTTAATTTCGTGGTGAATTTAACCACGTGATACGGGGGAATAGATTTTATTTTGCTGGTTCTGAAATTATGATAGCTGCTCTGGTTACAGGGCGGAGCCAACTTCCTTTGGTAAAAATATTATATAATATATTGAAAATTAAAATCATTTTATATATTCTCTTCGTTTAAAAAAAAAACATAATTTAATATAGAACGAAATTTAAAAGAATAAAGAAACTTTTTAATCTTATAGTCCTAAATTAATTTAAAGTTGTATAATATATCAAAATATTCTTTAGTTATATTACGTTAATTAAAATTAAAATGTCACCTAGCAGTAAATCTATTGACCAATAAAGATACTAGCCATTTTGTGGTTATCTGCTTTCATTGATTAGACTTGGTTGCCAATGTATCCACGACACCAGATGGAGGTCGTAATTGAATGACAACAACACCTTTGGCCTTTTTCTATTTTCTGATTTCGTCCTTTTATAGAGTTATGTTTAGTTATATTAAATTTTAAATTAATATAAATATTAGAGTTATTTCATTTTATACTTTTTATAAGTCATTTGAAATGAAAACATATTTTTATTTCTATTCAAATTTTTAAATACTTAAATTATCAGTGTTGTGGTAGGTGGATCAGTAAGAAACATGGAGAGCACTAAGCAGCTGGTTTTCATTCCAGGGCCAGGAATGGGTCACCTCGTTGCTGCTGTTGAATTTGGCAAATTACTCATTAGTCGAGCCAATTGGCTTTCAATTACTTTCTTCGTCATCGATCTTCCAATTGAAACCCGAGTTGATACCTATACAAATCAATCGCAGTCGAACCAACGCCTGCAATTCTTGCACCTTTCTTCTCCTGATCAAACTCAAACTAACCATCTTTCAAATCAAGAAGCTCTTCTTGTTGAAACCTTCAATAATTCGAAGGAGCTAGTAAGAAATGCAATAATCCAAAACTTCATGAAGACTAGTAGTACTAATCGACTTGTTGGTGTGATTGTTGACATGTTTAGTGACAAAATGATACAAGTAGCAACAGATCTTGGTTTACCAAGCTATGTGTTCTTCACTTCTAGTGCTGCTTTTCTTGGACTCATGTTTTATGCACAGACACTTAAAGATGAACACAATCGTGACATCTCCGATTTTAAAAACTCGGATACGTTGCTTCCTGTTTCGACTTACATCCATCCTCTTCCTGCTAAGGTTTTGCCCAATGCCATGTTGGATAAAATTGGCCGATTGCACTTACCTCTGTCTACTGCTCGAATGTTACGACAAGCGAAAGCGATTATGATTAATACTTTTGTTGAGCTCGAGCTTCATTCGATTAAATCCCTTGATAATGATGATGGGGTTCCGGTTATATACCCAATTGGACCTATAATCAACCTGAATCAAGAACCGGATGAGAGTATTAATCTCTGGTTAGATGGGCAACCGGACTCCTCTGTATTGTTCCTCTGTTTCGGGAGCTACGGTTCCTTTAACGAGGAACAATTGAAGGAAATTGCAGTAGCTCTTGACCATAGCGGCTGCCGTTTAT